ACCAATATTTCATTTAAGTCTGTGAAATGCTATGCAAATGCTGAAGAGTGATTTACTTCCAATTATGTGGTCACTTTCAAAATAGGTGTAATGTGATACTGAGAAAAATGTATGTTCTGTGGACCTGGGGTGAAGAATTCTATAAATATTCACTGACTTTACTTATTCCAGGTCTGAGTTCAAATCATAGATGTCCCTGTTAATTTTCTATCTCGTTGATCCCTCAAATATTAACAATGGGGTGTCAAAGTCTCCCACTATTATTGTGTGGGAGTCCAAGTCTCTTTATAAGTCATTAAGAACTTGTCTTATGTATCTGGGTGTTCCTATATTGGGTGCATATATATTTATGATCTTTGACTCCTGTTGTTGCATTGATCTTTTACCATTATGTAATGTCCTTCTTTGTTTCCTTTAGTCTTTGTTACTATTAAAGTCTACTTTGTCAGAGATGAAAGTTACAACTCCTGTTTTTTTTTTTTTTGCTCTCCATTTGATTGATAAGTCTTCCACCAACCCTTTGTTTTGAGTCTTTGTGTGTCCTTGCTTATGAGATAGATCTGGATAAAGAATACTGATGGGTTTTGACTTTGTATTCAATTTGCCTCTCTGTGTCTTTGATTGGGGCATTTAATCCATTTAAATTTAGGATTAATATTGATATTTGTAAGTTTAATATTGTCATTTAATGCTCACCAGCTATTTTGCCTCTTAGTTGATATAGATTCTTCATTATGGAGATACTCTTTACCTTTTGGTAAGTTTTTGGGATGACTGATACTGGTTGTTCCTTTCTGTGTATAGTGCTTCTGTCAGAAGCTCTTGTAAAGCAGGCCTGGTGGTGATGAAATCTCTGAGTGCTTGCTTGTTCATGAAAAATTTTATTTGTCCTTCATTTATGAAGCTTAGTTTGGCTGGATATGAGATTCTGGGTTGAAAATTCTTTTCTTTGAGAATATTGAATATTAACCCCCACTTTCTTCTAGTTTGTAGGGTTTCTGAGAGATCTGCTGTGAGTGAGTCTGATAGGCTTCCCTTTATGGGTAACCTGACCTTTCTCTCTAGCTGCCCTTAGAATTTTCTCCTTTATTTCAGTCCTGGTGAATCTAACGATTACATGTCTTGGGGTTGCTCTACTTGAGGAATTTCTTTGTGGTGTTGTCTGTATCACCTGGAGTTGAGTATTGTTCTGCGTTACTAGGTTAGGAAAGTTTTCCTGAATAATATCCTGAAGAATATTTTCCAGCTTGGATTTATTCTCTTCATGACATTCAGGTACACCTATCAAATGTAAATTAGGTCTTTTCACATAGTCCCATATTTCTTGGAGACTTTGCTCATTCCTTTTTACTCTTTCTTCTCTAATCTTGTCTTCTCATTTCATTTCATTAAGTTGGTCTTTGACCTCTGATATCCTTTCTTCTACTTGATCAATTCGACTGTTAAAACCTGTGCATGCTTCACAGAGTTCTCATATTGTATTCTTCAGTTCCATTAATTCACTTATATTCCTCTCTAAATTGTCTATTCTCATTAGGATTTCATCAAACCTTTTTTAGAGGTTCTTAGTTTCTTTACATTGGGCTAGAGCATGTTCTTTAACTCACAGAAGTTTCTTATTATCCACCTTCTGAAACCTAATTCTGTTAATGGAACGCACTCGTTCTCCATCAGGCCTTATTCCCTTGTTGATGAGAAACTGTGATCCCCTGTACAGGGAGAGGCATTCTGATTTTGGGTATTCTCAGCCTTTTTACACTGGTTTCTTCCCATCATTGTAAATTTATCCACCTGTTGTCTTTGTAATTACCAACTTTCAAATTAGGTTTCTGAGTGGATGTCCAACTTGTTGATTCCCAGCACCGGAATCTGAGCAATCCACTGCGCTGGCTAAAACAGTGGCATTAAGATTCATGGTGCTTTTCTGCTTGGGCATCTCCGGGTCTGGCTTCCTCCTTGAGTCCCTTTTTCAATCAGCTGAATAGGTGACTCTGCCTTCCCGGAGCTCCAAACGTTGACCAAAAGGGGACCCAGTCCCATTTACTCTGTACCAAGAATTGCTGCACTGGGGCACTGGCAAAACCACTGTGCCGGCTACAGGAGTCATGCTGGTGACCTGTGGGGCTCCTCCGCTGGGAATCTCCTGGTCCGTGAGCAACAAAAATTCATCTGAAAGTGTGGCATCCTCTCGTTCTCTGTGCTTTCACTGAGAGTTACAATCCTGAGCTGCTAGTAATCAGCCATCTTGGATCTCTCCACAAAGACTTGTTTAGTTTTTCAGGCCTACATCTCTCTCCTTCTGATCTTTGTCTGCATGACTTAACTTTGTCTGCATGAATTAACTTAATCTGGTTAATTACATAACCAGATAATCTGGTGTATACTTGAGTTATTACTTAACAGCTTTTTGTACTTTATATGACTTGTCTTCTTAATAACACTAGAAATGCCTGAAGGATAGGATTCTAAGAATGGGAGTGATGGTTTCATTTTTTCCCCTGTAGCATTTAGCATGTGAAATGGTTCCTACAGCAGATATATACCTCTTGTTTAATTGAATTAAATAAAAATCACTCATTGGATAAATGCCTTTGAGAGTCAATTAGACCCCATTATTTTAACACCACCCTTCTAGTTAAAGGAATTATGTAGCTGATGGGAACATAGCCTTTTCTGTACCTCATGACTGATACTTTTTTTTTTTTTTTTTTGAGACAGAGTCTTGCTCTACTGCCCAGGCTGGAGTGAAGTAATGCAATTTCCGCTCACTGCAGCCTCTGCCTCCTGGGTTCAAGTGACTCTCCTGCTTCAGCCTCCCAAGTAGCTGGGACTACAGGCACTTGCCACCATGCCCAGCTAATTTTTGTATTTTTTGGTAGTGACAGGGTTTCACAATGTTGACCAGACAGGTCTCGAACTCTTGACCTCAGGTGATCCTCCCTTCTTGGCCTCCCAAAGTGATGGGATTACAGGTCTGAGCCATAGCATCCACCCTGTTTCCTACTTTTTAAAAAAACCCTACATATGTCACCAGGCTGCCTCTCCATGCAAATTTTTTAATTCAGAAATTAGAAGAGGATAATAATATATTTTAAAGTTTTAAATATAGGTCACATTGATAAGGCAGAAACCTGTCATTTAAAGGGATTTAGTTTCAGTGAGACTTTTCATGCCACCCCAAATATATTCCTATTCATTTTCTTTATCCATTATAAATCTAATGTATGTTAGCTCCAGACAGCATGGATTTCAGGCTTGTTTTAGCATTCTGAAAGGCCAGAATTAGTATATTACTCCCATTGTCATTGACCTCTAGGACATTCTAGAGAGAACTGATTGTAAGAGTATGTATAGCAGGTAGTAGCCAGACTATGTTGAACTAGAGCACATAACCAGTTGTTTCTACTTGAGAATACTTAGCTGAATTAGCAGTTATTTTCATATTTTAAAAAAATGTAATAGAAACTTTCCTAATGCTAAAATGATGACAATTTTCACTCCCTTTTATCTTTTTCCCCCAAACTCATTCTCGTCCCCTCACATGCAATCATTCTAATGTAGCTATGTGATTGAATCTGTCCTATGTGTACTATGTTTTGCATGTGTTATTGAATTATATATCTAATTTTATGTATTTTTTCCTACACAGCACTATGTTTTCAAGATCCAACCACTTTCGTTCTGTATACATCTTGTTTACTGCTTCTAACTACTGCCTATTAATCAAAATATACCTTTACCATATTTTGCTTATCCATTCTCTCAATGATGGAAACCTCCAACTCCTTATCCACAAATAATACTGCATTAAAAAAAAACACTGTGCAAGCCAAGCAATACATGTGGACAGGTTACATCTAGCCTCAGACTACGCATTTATTTATAACCTCTAATCTAGACAAATTTCTTGTTCAATACCTGAAATTTTTTATCTCCTAATTCTCAAAAACATATAGCAAAAAGAAAAAACAACAGTGAATATATTTACAGAATTCTGTCAGCCACCCAAACATGAGAGATGTCAGTCATTACATGTGACTAAGATGACATTTTTCTAAGAGAAATGTATGTGACTACTAAGACAATAACCAAAGCAACCCTACTCATCCCAGGAAATAGTGAACAGCAGGTATCCGCTGCCATTTTGTTACACACCCACTCACAAACATGGTAGGTAACTTTTTTCCTTTTGCTTGAGATAGGGTCTCACTCTGTTGCCTAGGCTGGAGTGCAGCAGCAGTCACAGCTCACCACAGCCTTGTCCTCCCAGGCTCAGATGATCCTCCTACCTCAGCCTCCTGAGTAGCTAAGACTACAGGTGTGCACCACCAAACACGGCTAATTTTTTGTATTTTTTGTAGAGATGGGCTTTCATCACTTTGCCCAGGCTGATCTCAAACTCTTGGGCTCAAGCAATCCACCCACCTCAGTCTCCCAAAATGCTGGGATTAAAGGAGTGAGCCATCGCATCCAGCCCATGGTAGGTAATTTTAACCCAGCAAAGAATGAGCTGGGTTTGACACAATGGACCTCACCTCTATGAGTCTCAGACATGCCTTTTCCAATCTCAAGTTAAGCTACATAGAAACTTCCCATTTAGGAAGTAGTTGAAGTGAGAAGCAAAGTCAGGAAAGCATATAAAGAAAGGCTAAGCTTTCATGCATATCTCTGAATGAAAATAAGCCTGTTTGAAAAATGCATTGAAAATCTAATATTAAATTGTTTCAGTTCAGAAACCTTGCTCTACTATACTTTAAATGAACCTCCCACTGCTGTTTCAGTTTTGTTTCCTTGAACCGGGTACCAGATTGTCTTGGAGGCATGCCTGGACCAAGGGGCAAGTAAAGGAGAAAAGCTGTGGGGAAGCCATTTTCTGAGCACCTAAGAAAAAATAGCTAGAGGCTTCCAAGTGTAAAGAGAATTTTGTATACTGACTAAGTAACTCCTTTAAGAACCTAAAAATATCCCAAGTAACAGAGAATAAACTGAATCAAACATACTTGCATTTTCCACCAAAACTTTGGGCATACGCTGACGATTCATTAGGAGTGGGAAAGGATCTCTCCCATCATTCCGTTCGTGGACCTCTCGAATTTCCACTGAATCATCCATAAGATAGTAATGAATGATGTAGGTCCTGCATTCACCATACATGCTGTCTGTATCATCCCAGATCGCATAAAATCGAAGGACCTTTGAAAAATCCAAAGTAGTGACTCAAGAATCCTAAAAGTAGGGAGTTCAACTTAGCTACTTTGGCAATTATATATCAGACAGTGATGAAAAGATTAGCTGGAAAGACTATGAAGTAATCTCAGATGGGGTAAATTGGAAAAAAAAAGGAAATACTCATCAAAGATACTAAAACATCTGAAATTATGTACCATACGTCAGCAGCTGGAAAGAATTAAATAATAGGATTCTAAGTTTGTGCCAAAAAAGAAGAGCTCACTTTGATCCAAAATATTAGTCAGTGAAAGAGAAGCTAAATTTAAAGAGCAATGAAGTTCTTTACATGGTGGTTTATATATATTAATAAAGGTAAATGTGAATATGGTTTATATATAATTAGTATAGAAAAATTTTTTATTTATTAACCAGTATTTTTTTTGTCCCATCAACACATATCTTCTAGTGATACTATAAACACATTTTTTTTTTTTTGGCTAGGCTTCTTCAAATCATGAGAATAAACACAATCTTTAAATATAAAATAATAACAGATATGTGAATGATATAAACAAAATCCTTAAATGACCATGCTAGTGCTAGTTTACATATTTTGAACTAAAAGGAGTTAAATGTTTAAAGAAAAGGAACAGCAAAGAAGCGATGAAAGTGATCTCTTTCTTTTCGCTCTCTCTTCAGTAGAAAGGAGAGGATTTAAATCTGCTTATACACATCAGATCACAAGGGAGAGGATTAGGAAGGTTGGAACAGAGTTGGAAAATGTGCAAAACATTCTGCACTCCAATATTAAATATAACATTTATATAATAAATATTATTATATAATAAATATAACATTTAACAAGGAAGTATCTATAGTGGGGTTTCTGTGAAATTAAATATTTAAATATTAGAACCTACATATATGCACATCTTTGAAATTTCCCAATAATCAATTTATGGTTTCCCAAAGGATTCTATGAAATCAGCTCATTTTTAGGGTAAGAAAATGTCAATTGGAAATGTAAGTAGGTAGCAGATATAGCTCAGGAATTGTTTTGAGATTTAAATGTTTGGTGGGATTCACAAAACAACTCCACACTCCACAATCTTCTTTGGATCTCCATGTGAAACATAGGCACTCCTGTCCCTGTAACCCTAGATGAAAGCAGAAAGACAGGACTGTGTACGAACAGTTCAATTAAAGCTGTATTGTTTCAAAATAGTTACCAATACAGCTACCCAAACCTTTTGCCAATAAATATGGGTCACATTTGAAATAAGTAAGCCTGCTATGGTTCCTATGTCACTTACCTGTTTGTCAAAGGTGAGAAATTGCTTGAGTTGATCAAAGTCCGACGGGGTGACATACTTACGAAGAGGCTGTTTCCGGAGTTCAGTGTAAGGATCAAGAGCCATCTTCTCTGGTGGATTTAATTCAATTCCTTGACTTTCTAAAAATACCTAAATAATTGAAAGTTAATAATGCTCATCTTTCTTAGAGCTTCTTAGAGTAAGTTACAAACTGATGATTTAAAACTGGCACTGTGGCTCAGGGCTACAATCTCAGCACTTTGGGAGGCTGAGTTGGGAGGATTGCTGGAATGTAGGAATTTGCAACCAGCCTGAGCAACATAGTGAGACCCTGTTTCTACAAAAAATTTAAAAGTTAAGATTGCTTTGATGCCACGTGCCTGTAGTCCAGGCTACTCGGGAGGCTGAAGTGAGAGAATCATTTGAGCTCAGGAGGTCAAGGCTAGAGTGAGCCATGATCATGACACTGCACTCCAGCCTGGGTGACAGCAAGACCCTGCCTTAAAAGAAAAAGGAAAAAGAAAATAAAAGTGTAATAATAATTTCTATGCCATTACTCAAGTTAAACATTAGTTTGCTGCTCAAGCACATGTAAGCTGTATTAAGTCTCCAACTGAGCCAATTCCATAATGCAGATAATAATTGAGAGTTACCTGAAGTATTTTATATTGTTATGTTGTTATATTGCTAAGTATCTGCTAAGCTAGTTGGGAGGCACAACGGCAAAATAACTGTTTTTAAATACGAATTTAAATCAATCAAATTTATTTAGGTGCTTGTAACAGAGTAAGTCTTAGTATTGCTTACATTCATATATCCGGAACCTAACCACAGTTTCAAACAATATGTAATTCCTATTAGATATGGAGGCAAGCTGCATAATGGCCAGCTTAGGCTGAAATCATATTCCCGATTTTCTAATTCACTTAAAACAAATACTGTATATGATTAAGTCCCTTCCCCTCGCCAAGAAAGAAAAAAAAAATCATACCCACTGGTTATATTAGACCAGAAAATGTTTTAGCAAAATAGGAAAGATAAACTAAGTGCTGAAATTTCACCAGACATTCCTGAAAGGGACAGTTAGAAGGCAAACAGCTTGGAAAACATATTTCAGGATATCATCTGTTAAAACCTCCTAAACTCGCTAGAGAGACCAACAATCAAATTAAGGAAATACAAAGAATCCCTGCAAGATTCTACCCAAAGAGATCATTCCCAAGTCACATAATCATTAGATTTTCCAAGGTCAAAATGAAAGAAGGAATGTTAAAAACAGTTACAGACGGGTGGATCACGAGGTCAAGAGATCGAGACCATCCTGGTCAACATGGTGAAACCCCGTCTCTACTAAAAATACAAAAAATTAGCTGGGCATGGTGGCGCGTGCCTGTAATCCCAGCTACTCAGGAGGCTGAGGCAGGAGAATTGCCTGAACCCAGGAGGCGGAGGTTGCGTTGAGCCGAGATCGAGCCATTGCACTCCAGCCTGGGTAACAAGAGCGAAACTCCGTCTCAAAAAAAAAACCAGTTACAGAGAAAGGGCAGGTCACATGCAAAGGGAACCCCCATCAGGCTAACAGTGGATTTCTCAGCTGAAATTCTACAAGCCAGAAGAGACTGAGGGTCTATATTCAACATTCTTAAAGAAGAAAAATCTTCAACCAAGAATTTCATTTCTAGTCAAACTCCAAGCTTCTCAGCAAAGGAGAAATAAGATCCTTTTCAGATAAGCAAATGCTGAGAGAGTTCATCATCACCAGGCCCACTTTACAAGAGATCTTGAAAGAAACACCAAATATGGAAAGAAAAGACCATTACCAGCCAATACAAAACACATTAAGTATGCAGACTAGTAACACTATAAAGCAACCACACAAACAAGCCAGCATAATAACCAGCTAACAGGTGGTTGATCCAATGACAGGATCAAATCCACATGTATCAATACTAATCTTAAATATAAATGGGCTAAAGGCCCCATTTACAAGGCACAGAGGCCAGGAATGGTAGCTCATGCCTGTAATCTCAACACTTTGGGAAGCTGAGGTGGGCGGATCATTTGAGGTCAGGAGTTTGAGGCCAGCCTGGCCAACATGGTGAAACCTCATCTCTGCTAAAAATACAAAAATTAGCCAGGAGTGGTAGCACACACCTGTAATCCCAGTTACTCAGGAGGCTGAGGCAGGAGAATCACTTGAGCCTGGGAGGCAGAGGGTGCAGTGAGCTGAGATCATGCCACCACACTCCAGCCTGAGCAACAGAGCAATACTCTGTCTCAAAAAAATAAAGGGGTGGGGGGGGGGGTGGGCACAGAGTAGCAAGCTGGATGAAAAAGGGAAGACCCAATGGTATGCTGTCTTCAAGAGGCCTATCTCACACACAACACCCAAAGGCTCAAAATAAAGGGATAGAGGAAAATCTACCAAGAAGATAAAGAACAGAAAAAAGCAGGGGTTGTAATCATAATTTCAGACAAAACAGACTTTAAACCAACAAAGATCAAAAAAGACAAAGAAGGGCATTGTGTAATGGTAAAAAAATCCAACTCAACAAAAAACCCTAACTATAGTTCCTAAATACATATGCACCTAATGCAGGAACACCCAAATTCATAAAACCAGTTCTTAGAGATCTACAACAAGACTTAGACTCCCACACAATAACAGTGGGAGACTTCAACACTTCCCTGACAGTATTTAACAGATCACTGAGGCAGAAAATTAACGAAGATATTCAGGACCTAACTTAACATTGGACCAAATGGATCTGACACACCTCTACAGAACTCTCCATCCAAAAATAACAGAATATACACTATTGTCATCACCACATGGCACATATTCTGAAATTGACCACAAAATCAAACAGAAAACAATTATCAGGAAATGCAAAAGAACCAAAATCATAGCAAACACATTCTCAGACAACAGCATAATAAAAATGGAAGTCAAAACTTAAAACAACACTCAAAATCATGCAATCACATGGAACTTGGACAACCTGCTCCGGAATGACTTAGGTAAATAATGAAATTAAGACAAAAATTAATTTTTGAAATTACTTCTTTGAAAGTAATGAGAACAAAGATACAATTTTTGAAATTAATTACTTCTTTGAAAGTAATGAGAACAAAGATACAACATACCAGAATCTCTGGGACACAGCTATGGCAGTACTAAGACAGAAATTTATAGCACTAAACACCATGTCAAAAAGTTAGATCTCAAATCAACAACCTAACATCACAACTGAAAGAACTAGAGAAGCAAGAGCAAACTAACCTCAAAGCTAGTGGAAGGCGAGGAATAATCAAAATCAGAGCTGAACTGAAGGAAATCAAGATACAAAAAAAAAATCAAAAGATCAATGAATCCAGGAGTTGGTTGTTATTAAAAAAATAAGCCACTAACTAGATTAATGAAGAGAGAAGATCTAAATAAACACAATGATGAACAACAATGGGGATGTTACCACTGACCCCATAGAAATATAAACAACCTCCAGAGAATATTATGAACACTTGTATGCACACAAACTAAAAACCTAGAAGAGATGGGTAAAGTCCTGGATGCATACATCCTCCCAAGACTGAACTAGGAAGAAATTGATTCCCTGAACAGACCAATAACAAGCTCTGAAATTGAATCAGTAATCAATAGCCTATGAATAAAAAAAGATCCAGGGCCAGATGGATTCACAGCTAAATTCTACCACATACACAAAGTAGAGCTGGTACTATTCTTACGGAAATATTTTTAAAAATTCAGGAGGAGGGATTCCTCCCTAACTCAATCTATGAGGCCAGCATCATCCTGACACCAAAACCTGGCAGAGTCACAACAGCAAAAGAAAACTTCAGGCCAATATCCTTGATGAACATCAATGCAAAAATTCTCAACAAAATACTTGCAAACTGAATCCAGCAGCACATCCCAAAGGTAATCCACCACAATAAAGTAGGCATCATTCCCAGGATGCAAAGTTGGTTCAACATACACAAATCAATAAATGTGATTCATCACATAAACAAAGCTAGAGACAAAACCCACATGGTTATCTCAATAGATACAGAAAAAACTTTGGCAGATCATGAGGTCAGGAGATTGAGACCATCCTGGCTAACATGGTGAAACCCTGTCTCTACTAAAAATGCAAAAATTAGCTGGGCTTGGTGGTGCACACCTGTAATCCCAGCTACTCAGGAGGCTGAAGCAGCAGAATTGCTTGAACCCAGGAGGCAGAGGTTGCAGTGAGCCGAAATTGAGCCATTGCACTCCAGCCTAGGTGAAAGAACAAGACTCTGTCTAAAAAAAAAAAATATATGACTTTGGATAAAATGTAATGAGAAATGTAATGAGATGTAAAATGTAATGAGAAAAACTCTCAATAAATTAGGTATTGAAGGACCATACCTCAAAATAAAAAGAGCTATCTATGAAAAGCCCACAGTGAACATTGTATTAAACAGGGAAAAGTTGGAAGCATTCCTCTTGAAAACCGACATAAGACAAGGATGCCCTCTCCCACAACTTCTATTCAATACAGTATTGAAAGTCTGGGCCAGAGCAATCAGGCAAGAGGAAGAAATAAACGACATCCAAATAGGAAGAGAAAAAGTCAACCTATCTCTGTTTGGAAACAACATGATTCTTTATCTAGAAAACCCCATAGCCTTGGCCCAAAAACTCCTTCAGCTGATAAATAACTTCAGCAAAATTTTAGGATACAAAATTAACACACAAAAATCACTAGCATTCCTATACACCAACAACAGCCCAGCTGAGAGCAAAATCAGGAACACAATCCCATTTATAACTATCACAAAAAGAATAAAATACCTAGAAATACAGTTAGCCAGGGAGGCAAAAGATCTCTACAATGAGAATTACAAAACACTGCTCAAGGAAATAAGAGATGACATGACCAATTGAAAAAACATTACAAGCTCATGTATAAGAATCAGTATCATTAAAATCACCATACTGCCCAAAGCAATGTACAGATTCAATGCTATTCCCATCAAACTATCAGTGACACTCTTCACAGAACTAGAAAAAAATACTTTAAAATTCAGTGATACCCAAAAGGAGCCTGAATAGCCAAGGGAATTCTAAACAAAATGAACAAAGCTGGAGGCATCATCTGCCTTCAGACTATACTACAGGGCAACAGTAACCAGAACAGTATGGTACTGGTACAGAAACAGACACATGGACCAATGGAACAGAATAGAGAGCTCAGAAATAAGGCTGCACACCTATAATTATCTGGTCTTCAACAACGCTGACAAAAACAAGCAATGGGGAAAGGACTCCCTATTCAATAAATGGTGCTGGGATAACCTGCTAGCCATATACAGAAGATTGAAACTGGACACCTTTCTTACACCAGATATAAAAATCAACACAGATAGATTAAAGGCTTAAATGTAAAACCCAAAACTATAAACATCCTGGAAGACAATCAAGGCAACACCATTCTAAACATAGGAATGGGCAAAGATTTCATGACAAAGATACCAAAAGCGATTGCAACAAAAGCAAAATTGACAAATGGTATCAAATTAAATGTAAGAGCTTCTGCAGAGCAAAAGAAAGCATCAACAGAGTAAAAAGACAATCTAAAGAATGGGGAAAAAAAGGCCAGGCGCAGTGGCTCAAGCCTGTAATCCTAGCACTTTGGGAGGCCGAGGTGGGTGGATCACGAGGTCAAGAGATCGAGACCATCCTGGTCAACATGGTGAAACCCCATCTCTATTAAAAATACAAAAAATTAGCTGGACATGGTGGCATGTGCCTGTAATCCCAGCTACTCAGGAGGCTGAGGCAAGAGAATTGCCTGAACCCAGGAGGTGGAGGTTGCGGTGAGCCGAGATCGCGCCACTGCACTCCAGCCCAGGTAACAAGAGCGAAACTCTGTCTCAAAAAAAAAAAAAAGAATGGGAAAAAAATATTTGTGAACTCTACATCTGACAAAGGTCTAATATGCAGCATCTATAAGGAACTTAATTTACAAGAAAAAACAAAGCACTCCATTAAAAAGTGGGCAAAGTACATGAACAAATATTTCTCAAAAGAAGACACATATATGGCCAATAAGCATATGGAAAACAAGCTCAACATCACTCATCATTAGAGAAATGCAAATCAAAACCACAATGAGATACTCTCTCACACCAGTCAGAATGATTATTATTAAAAAGTCAAAAACTAGGCTGAACGCAGTGGCTCATGCCTGTAATCCCAGCACTTTTGGGAGGCCAAGGCAGGGGTATCATCTGAGGTCAGGAGTTCTAGACAAGCCTGGCCAACAGAGTGAAACCCCATCTCTACTAAAAATACAAAACAATTATCCATGCGTGGTGGCAGGTGCCTGTAATCCCAGCTACTTGGGAGGCTGAGGCAGGAGAATCGCTTGAATCTGGGAGGCAGAGGTTGCAGTGAGTTGAGATCATGGAATTGTACTTCAGCCTGGGAAAGAAGAGCAAAATTCCATCTCGAAAAAAAAAAGTCAAAAAATAACAGATGCTGTCAAGGTTGTGGAGAAAAAGAAATGTTTATACACTGTTAATGACAGTACGAATTAGTTCAACCATTGTAGAAAGCGATGTGGTGATTCCTAAAGGACCTGAAAACAGAACTACCATTTGACCTAGGAATCTCATTATTGGGTACACACCCAAAGGAATATAAGTCATTCAGCCATAAAGACATGCATGTTCATTGTAGCAGTATTCACAATAGCAAAGACATGGAACCAACCTAAATGCCCATCAATGGTAAACTGGAAAAAGAAAATGTGATCATAGACGTGGCATATCTTTTGCATTTTTGTGTTTTTGTTGGTGATTTTGCTGTTTAAAAAGTCCCAATGTCTAGTGCTGAAGTGCTATTTAGTGTTCCTCATCATCACAAGAAGGCTGTAATGCACCTCATGGAGAAAATGCATATCTTAGATAAGCTTTGTTCAGACATGAGTTATAGTGCTGTTGGGTATGAGTTTAATGTTAATGAATCAACAGTATATAATTAAATAAGGTGTCTTTAAACAGAAACACACATAAAACAAACTTACATATTGATCAGTTGACAAAAATGTGACCAAAGATTGGGGGGAACCTAACCCTGTATTTCCTCTAAGAGCAGTGGTTTGGTATTCAGTGTTCGTGGTGACTATAGTCCTAATTACTGTGAATAATGAGAATTGACTATAAATAGATCAACTGCTCAGTGATTAACTTGCAAATGTTCAAATTGCCCATAAAACACAATGGTAAAAATAATTGTTATGAAAACACAACTGTAAAAATAATTGTTAATACCTTTATGTTTAGATAACATTTTATAATTTCTCACTGTTGGTACAATTGTGAAACTGCCTATGAGATATAAGACCTCACACATCTAAAAAGCAAAGAGATAAAAATTTGTTGGAAGGGGAGAATATCTCAAAGATGGTCTAGCACCTCTACTTTCAAAGCTATTTTTCTCTAATACTTTGGAATGGCACTGATGCCATGGCTCTTTTCTTCACTTCCTTCAGGCCTCTATTCATGTGTCATCTTATCACTGAGGCATTCTCTGATCAGCCTTTATAAAAAGCCCCTCAACTTCCATTCCCTTTACTCAGCTTTACTTTCCTCTACTGCTCTTATCATAATCTGACATATAATCAGTCTATTTGCTATTGTTTGTCTCCTCCGACAAGATTGTAACCTCTACAAGGGCACATCTTTACATCTGGTGCCTAGAACAGTGCCTGATGCAAAGCAGGCATGCAAATAAATATTTGTTAAATAAACTACTAAATGAAAACACTAAATGGATTCATAGGAGTTCAGTGTATGGTAACAATTAGTCATATATGGCACTAGGTACCATGGAATAAAGGACATAAAATACTTCAGAAACTATATCTTTTCTTCTAGAAACATTTTTAACTAAGACAAATTTGGAATTGACTTCCTAATTCCTATTTGTGCTAAAGAAAGATCATCATTATCCTCCATGTATTTAAGAAAAGTTTCCTTTGTATTAAAAAATCTAAACTTATGAAATAAAGAAAGTAGAGGACATTTTATATAGAGAAGAGTTTTTTTCATTTCAAAACAGTTTTATTTCAGAAATTCTGTAGATAGTAAGCTTTCCTAGAATATAGCAAGTATCATTTACCAAAAATATATGAGCTACACAAAAAATTTTAGGCTCATATCTGCTAATAGAAGTAGTGCTATTTCCGTAAACTCATACTTAAGATAAAATGTCTAATCCCTCTTCCATACGTCCATCCTAGCAGGGGTGTTATTCCCCTACCCTATATTGAAACTACCATTTTAACCTGGTTTCTTACCAAATGATTCAGCTATGATGAGAGTTTGATTTTGCGTATTTTACATTTCATTCTGAAAAAATTATGTTACTACTAGTGTTGGCACATATTAGCACATACACACACACAATACCTAGCCAACCATAATAATTCATGCGGGAGAGATTACCGATGTCCTCCCCTTACTCTAATAAATGAAATGTATCCTTCTATAAATTAGGATGATGCCTCAGACCCCACAACTTTCAAAAATATATGCTATACCTGTGTGAATCGGTCACAGTCAACAATGCGGAAAGTTTTGCCGTAAATTGTGATGTTTATTCCTCGATTTAGGTCTTTCCAATGATAATGGTCTCCCCGGTCATTCTTGGCTAGCCGCTGGCGTTTTATTAACTTGCCTTGAGGGATTCCAGAATTTTCTACAACAGGCTCTATGACAGACATGCTGTCATCTTCTAGATAATAGTAAATATTCACTTGACGGATCCTATAATGTTCCTCAGGTGACATAGGAACATCTTCTTGGAAATAGGCATCAAATTTCAGCACCTATAAGATGCAAGGAAAGGAGAAATGGTATACTATTAGTTTGTTATAGTCATCTAAAAAATATCAAGTATGCTCCTGAAAACAGAACCACACAGGGAGATTTTAACACTCATCACTCCTATCCTCTAAATCTTGATACTGTAAAATTACAGATACTGTAAACTAAAGTCCATGGGACACATCTAACCTGCTACCTGTTTTTGTTTTTTTTTTTTTTAATGAACCTTCAAGCTAAGAATGGCTTTTAAATATTTAAATGGTTTAAAAAACTTTTTTAAAATTTCATAACACATGGATATTATAAAAATTTAAATTTTCAAGCCACAAATAATTATGTAAATAATTTACATTTTTTAAAAGTTGCTCTCCCATTACAAGAGAACAGTTAAATAGTTGTGATAGATTGTGTCTCCCTCATCCCCAAAATTCATATGTTGAACCCTAACCCTCAACGTGACTATAATTGAAGACAGGATCTTTAGGAGGTAATTAAGGTTAAACAACATCTTAAGGATAGAGGTATTCCACCTTTAAGTCTAATCCCATAGAACTGGTGGCCTCAGAAGAGAAGTAGAAGAGAAAGAGAGTTACTTCCCTCTCCCAACTCCCACATGCACACCACCAAGATAAGGCCATGTAAAGACATAGGAAGAAGGCCACTATATGCAAGCCAGGAAGAGAGCCCTCACCAGAATCCAAACCAGCTGGCACCTTGATCTTGGACCTCCAACCTCCAGAACTGTGAGAAAATAAATTCTATTATTTAAACCATTCAATCTGTGGTATTTTGTTGTGGCAGACTAAGCAGACTAAAACCACTGCAATGGCCAAAATATATGCTAACTGCCCCTTTACAGAAAAAGTTTGCTGACATCTGCTTTAAATACTCACAATGTGTATAAACTATTTATTTCACATGTTCCTTGGCGAGAATACATCTTTTTTTTTTTTTTGAGATGGAGTTTCACTCTTGTTGTCCAGGCTAGAGTGCAATGGCGCCATCTCAGCTCACCACAACCTCTGCCTCCTGGGTTCAAGAAACAATCCTGCCCCAGCCTCCCAAGTAGTTGCAATTACAGGCATGTGCCACCACGCCCAGCTAATTTTGTATTTTTAGTAGAGATGGGGTTTCTCCATGTTGGTCAGGCTGGTGTCAAACTCCTGACCTCAGGTGATCTGCCCACCTTGGTCTCTCAAAGTGCTGGGATTACAAGCATGAGCCACCTCACCCGGCCAAGAATACATCTTAAAGAACTTTACTAGATTCACCTCCATGTCAAAAGTCACTCCCAGAACTTCTGAGAAGAGTAAAAAATCTTGAACAATATTGTGATTTTGGTTTCAAACTGAAAATGAAGGCTTAATTGCATTTCTTTAGAAGTGCAGTCCTTTGTAAATGTATATTAACTACATTCATTATTATAGACTTCATAGGAATGATTTTCACACCAGCAATCCACTATAGAATTTTTGAAGGATATGTATATACCCTCATCATTAATCCACTATAGAATCTCTAAAAGATGTGTACATACCCTCATTGTGCTCAGAAACACATATATTATATCAAGCAAACCATTGGTCCTCTGGGGAGCATCATTATCAATGTGAAGTCAAAATGGTATCAATACATAGACTGCACATTTAGAAAACATAAAACATGCAGGCGTGGTGGCTCACACTTGTAATCCCAGCACTCTGGGAGGCTGAGGCAGGCAGATCACCTGAGGTCAGGAGTTTGAGACCAGCCTGCCCAACAAGGTGAAACCCTGTCTCTACTAAAAATATAAAAATTAGCCAGGCATGGTGGTGCCTGTAATCCCAGCTACTCGGGAGGCTGCAGTAGGAGAATCACATGAACCTGGTAAGTGGAGGTTTCAGTGAGCTGAGTTAGTGCCACCGCACTCCAGCCCGGGCAACAAAGTGAGACAAGAGAGCCTGCTAACAGATTAGATGTGGATTGTGAGGGGGAAAGAAGAATGAAAGATGACTTTCAAGTTGGGGGTTAGAACAGCTAGGTGAATTGTGGTAACCTTTACTGTATTGGTTAAGAGAGCCTGATGGCATTTTCCTAGAAAACTGACATAATCAGAGCTGAAGCCTAGAGAATAAACTAGGCAGCAGACCTGTTATAAGCATAAAGACTAGGAATGAGACTATAACAACAGTTAGGTAGTCATATGGCTTATTTGATCTATGATGGTGGCAGAAGAAATGAAAGTGAGAGATAATTGACTTGGCAACTCATTAAATGTGGAGAATAAAGAAAAGAAAGCCAAAGATAGCTCAGGTTTCAAGCTTAGATTACTTAGTGGAACCATACAGGAAAAGCAGGTCATGGGAAAAGGTGATAGATAGAGATAAATTAAAGACATACAGAACTTGAGGTGCTAGCAGTTCATCCAGGTGAAGATATTCCATGGGGAGGGGGATATAGGTCTGGAATCTCAATGATATCAGAGTTGAAAATAAATAGTGACATTTTCTACAGTGAGGTGATAGCTGAAATAATGAAAGTGGGTGAGATCTCAAGAAAATTGTATGAGACAACCTTGAAAATACTTTTAAGTTAAGAATTGAAAAAAATTCTTAAGAATGGACGTAAAGAATAAGCAATCACATAGAAAGAAGGAGGAAATCGAGAGTCATGGAAGCAAAAGAAGAGTACAGTTTCAAGAAGGGAGGGAGGATGGTGTCAACAATGTCAGATGGAACAAACAGGCCAAAGAGAATGCTGGCAACGTAAACCTCTCTAAATCTGGCAAAAGCAACAGCACTGGCTACTTAGGAAAAAGTATTTTGGGGCTTGTGGATAGGGAGAAGTCAGATTATAAGTGACTTGACAGACAAGTGAGGAACAAAGTTCTCTTACTTAAAGGAGTCACAAGGTATTATAGAAAGAGGACAAGATGATAATGACTCTAGCTAGAGAAGTCGTCGCTAGAGTGTCTGAAATAGTAATAATATCAAAGGTGAAGATGAAAAAGATGAAAGAAGAATAACATCAGAAATAAAAACTTGGAAGCCAGTCTAGGAAACAGAATATACTGGGTGATGCCAAAAGTATATGGGACCAAGGGGAAAAGATTAGGGCACTTGCAACAGATGTCCTGGTCTTTATTACCTAAGAAATGAAGTTATATTCTGTCTATGAGGAACAGAATTCTTAGGAATTTCCAAACTATAGACAAATATGTTGGCTATTCTGTGGATCTGGATACTCCCAAAAAAATTTGAAACTTCATTTAACTCAGAGAAACCAAAATTTCCTTATTATAAACTAACTTAGTTTCAGGGTTTAGCTACTCTCTACCCCATTATCTATGCTAAAGCTCATTTGTCTAGAAATTGTGATGATCCAAGTAAAATAAATTGGAAAATAAAAATAATATCTTACGTGCACTATCATTAAAGAAATTAATTATGAATAATATTAAATAAGTACAAATTAAGCAACAACAAATAGTATAACATAACAGAGAAAATCAGAAAATAGGAAGCCTATTTCCTACTCAGGCACAATTTCTCCTCTGAATTTTACTAACACTTTCTTATGACATATATCACTTTATCAACTTCTACTTTATAACAGTTATTTGCTATTCTTTTCAGTAAAAATTAAACATACCAGAATTCATATCTAGGTAAATGATTAAATGCCTATTCCACTTCTCTTATATTTTCTGCCCTCTCTTTTCTCTGCTGATTTTGCAGCGCCTGTTACAACTATGAATAAACAAGAGAAACAAGCAAAAGGAAAATATATACCCATTTATATAAAGCATACTGTTTAGTGGATATTTGGGTTAAGCCTATGAATGTATACGTGAATGTGTTCCTATAAATGAGTTAAGTAGGGAAGAGGAAATAAATGATAGGGATTCTACTTGAGATACTAAAATTGCTTAAAAACTGAGTGATTATTAATGTAAATAGCATAGTTCCTCCCCAGCCTCTAGCTTACAACGGGTACTCAGTAAAAGTTGGCTGGCTGGATGAAAATGTTATAGACATTTAACAGAAATAATATATATAAATTAAGACAGGAAAAGAAACAAACTAACAGTAAATTAAGAAAGCTAACCTATCAAAACTGATCAGTAGTTCTCAGAACCAGTTACACATAAAACTCATCTGGAAATTAGAATTGATGAGAGTTGAATAACATGTAATTTTCTTCAAAATCTCGCCAGTGATTCGGCTTGCTACACGGTCAGGGCTAGGATTACTTGAGTGCAAAGAGGAGGCTCATTGACAAGGAAAAACAAGAATGATGTGGTAATGTCAACAGATGGAAATGAGGCAACTCGCATTGCAAAAACATAAAGGTAAATGAGAAACAAACAAAAATACTATACCACCCATTGGTTATGTAATATCCAACGTGAAATGTTCCCTGAAAAACAAAAACTTAAGGAAACTGCCTGCAGAAAACTGACAATAGAAGGAGTCATTGTTTCCATAATGATACTTTGCATCGCACAGAGATTAGATATGTCACCACTGCAGAATGCAGTACCTTTAAAAAGTGGAAAACACACTGCCAATAAACACAGAACAATGTAAGTTCAAGAATTCAGAATTTTAGCCAAATTTTCTTTAACTATATTTGGAAAATAGTCCAGTGAAGTCTACAGGGAATTACTTTACTCCCTGTAATCAGCTTCCTGACTAAAGAAAGCCTCTTTTTAGCCTGAGTTCAGCTGTCCGTGACTAAGAGTTAAGGCATTTGAACAATTTTCTCCTCAGAGCACTTTGGAAATCCTGTGGTTTACTGTTAACTTTTCTGCAAGCAGTTGGCTCTCAGATCCTAATTCAAGGGGTACCTAAAATTCAGATCATACCTTTTTGTCAAAAGCCACATGGGCAGGAATAAAATCTGCAGGTGGGGCTTGTTTAGGTTGGCCGTAAGTTAGGACTGGTGCCTTATTGGCCAACTCATCCAGCTCAGCCTGGGACAGCTGATTGAACTGGAGGTGGTCCCCGCCTATCCCAACTGTTGGACGTCGGACAATTGCATAGCCGTTCCTGTAGCCCAGCGTCTGGCTTCTATGGAAGGCTGTTTTCTGAAGAAGAAAAGAAGTGTGTCATTAATAACATTAGACAAATATTTGTTAGGTAAAAAAAAAAAAAAAAACTAACTTTTAAAAATATAACTTAAATATTTGCTTATAAGCTTCACAAAACTTATAACAAGCTTACCAACATTAAGGCTGGGCATGGTGGCTCATGCCTATAATCCCAGCACTCTGGGAGGCTGAAGAGGGAGAATTACTTCAGCCCAGGAGTTCGAGACCAGCCTGGGCAACAAGACCCTGTCTCTACAAAAACTAAAAAAAAATTAGCTGAGTGTGGTGGCTTTCACCTGTCATAGTCCCAGCTACTTGGGAGGCTGAGGCGGGAGGATCACTTGAGGCTGGGAGGCCCAAGCTGCAGTAAGCTATGATTCAAACACTGTACTCCAGCCTGGGCAACAGTGAGCCTCTGTTTCAAAAAAAAGAAGAAGAAAAAAAGCTTACCTACATTAAAGGGTACATATTTTAAAACACTTGGACAAGAACAACAAGGGAAGTAGCCACCTGAGCTTAAAGTTAAATTTAAAGCCCTGCTCTGTAATGCCCAATTTACCAACTCACCTTGCATGAGAGATTAAAAGAATATTTAATCTATACTCCTAAATTTTTGACTAATCTCCTCATGTTTGTTTTTTTTTTGAGACAGAGTTTTGCTCTTGTTACCCAGGCTGGAGTGCAATGGCGCGATCTCGGCTCACCGCAACCTCCGCCTCCTGGGTTGAAGCAATTCTCCCGCCGCAGCCTCCTGAGTAGCTGGAATTACAGACACGCGCCACCATGCCCAGCTAATTTTTTGTATTTTTAGTAGAGACGGGGTTTCACGATGTTGACCAGGATGGTCTCGAACTCTTGACCTCATGATCCACCCGCCTCGGCCTCCCAAAGTGCTGGGATTACAGGCTTGAGCCACTGCGCCCGGCCAATCTTCTCATGTTTTTCATCTGGTATATTGTGGCCATAAAACCTGTAGAACCTAGAAGATCTGGTTCTATGAACTTTATTTTTACATGCAATGGATTTTTTTTTTGAGATGGTGTCTCAATCTGTTGCCCAGGCTGGAGTGCAGTGGCACAATCCTGGCTCACTGCAACCTCCACTCCCGGGTTCAAGGAGTCTCCTACCTCAGCCTCCAGAGTAGCTGAGACTACAGGTGCCTGCCACCATGCCTGGCCAATTTTTAAAATATTTTTAGTGGAGATGGTGTTTCACCATATTGGCCAGGCTGGTCTTGAACTCCTGACCTTTGTGATCCACCCACCTCAGTCTCCCAAAGTGCCAGGATTATAGGTGTGAGCCACCATGCCCAGCCATGAATTTATTTTTACCTGTCCCTCTTGTCCCAATGACACTGATATATTCTTACAACTCTTTGGAAAGCAACTGGATGGTATATATTTAAATTCTTGAACTCAATAATTCTACCCCTAACCATTTATTTTAAGAATATGATCCAGAATCATGAGAAAGAACTACATGCCTGAAACTGCCCATTACAATGGTAAATATTGAAGAGAATTTAAAACACAATCACATGAAGACATGAGCAAATGATCAAAAACATACTCAATGGATTATTGTGCAGTCATTAAAATACTGATTTTAAAGATCATGTGGCAACCTGGTGAAAATGTTTATGATTTATATGAAAAAGCAACATATAAAATTGTGAGTATACTACAATTATAAGCATGGAAATATGTGCATGAAGAGACTGGTTTGGTCCTCTGTATTATACATTTCTAAATTATGTTGATTTTTTACAATGAACATATGCTTATTAGCAGCTGAAAAAAAAGATTAAATAAAAAAGAGTAGAAGGGCAAATTAGAGGTTATGTTAATGGTTTTCCTTTTTCTGTTGTGAGAATACTTTCAAAATTTTATATATGTAATATTCAATTACATATAATTACATAGATGTAATTTGGGATTAATCATATAATATATATTTTTATGAAAAAAACTTTCTACATTTTAATTGCTTTAGAGCCCAGCCTACCACCTTTCAAGATCTGTACTAACATACAAGGTACAACACAATAAACTTCTTTTGCTAAGAGTCATAAACCGTGGACATGTGTTTCTACAGGTCATGTATTCAGTCACAGGGACTGCTCCAGGTATATAATAAACATGACATAGAGCAAAACACACTGAGTTGACATCCTCATTGGGGAACTTATGCAACTTCAAGCTCTTTTTCCACCACTAACGACAAAGCAATACCAGTGACTTCAGTTTATTTCTTTGTTTTAGACAAATGTCTCTACCACCATTCAGCCATAACTCACAGACACCCCAGGCAAGGCAACCTCAGCCTTCTCCACCCTTCTTGTCCATTATGGTTCACCTTCTCTGTGTCTTTTTTTAAAGACACTCCCCTTTAAAATTTTTTAAATTTTTTATCTGACTGTCTTTAGAATTATATTAATACATATCCAGTCCTTTACTGCTGAAGATATACTGACGATGCTTTTCAAATTTGAAATAGGGCAAATTGGTTGACACTTGGCCAGTGGATTTAAAATATGAAATACGTCCAATGCACAGTCCATCTTACTTGTAATACAGCAATATTTTTTAGAGCTTTGCACTTCCGTCCACACCTCTGTAATTCCCCAAATCAACTCAGCCCTGTCTACATTCACCAGCACCAAAAGCTTAAGCTCATCCTGTATAGGGCAAGTGCCTACAACATTTTCTAAATTACATAAAAGTGAAAAGTCCACTGAAACTAAAAATCTATGATGTTGTGTCCTAACGCAGGGATAATTACAAAGAGATTCAGAATATAAATTCTCTAACCAAACTTTCTATTTCATTCTAAATTTAGTCCCCCAAAGAAAATACATTGACAAAATATTTTCTCTTTAACTTTCTGAAGCTGGAGAGGAAGGTAAGAATTTAAATTATTATACTATATAATCTACTGTTAAGCTCATCTGTGATGATCAGTCTAGGGAATCTCATTATTGATTTTCCAGCACATATATGTCAGTAGCCCTGTTAGAATTAAAACAAATACTAAATGATTTTAAGAGCTAAGCTGTATCAAGAGTTAAAAAACGAAAAAAACAAAGAATCCAAGCTGCTGCTGCTTTTTAAAAAAAAATTGCCTAGGAAATGCAAATAAAAACACAAGGTTGGGGAAGGAGCAAAACAAAATCTAAACAGCAATCTTTTTACAAAAACGTTAGAATAAAAAGAATATGGCTGGGGAAGAATAAACAGCAACTAATTAATTATAAGGGGAATTGGAAAGGGATATATCTTACAAAGTAGGGAAGAATGGTTTGGGAGGAATATGAACAAGTTTTGGAGGAAAACCGCAATGGAGAAAGAACAGAATGGGAAGAGGATGGGACTAAATTGTCGAAAAGGTAGAAGATGGAGCGAAAAGAATGGGGTTGGATGCAACATAAAGAAGAAAGGAAAAAGACCTGGCGGAAAGAAGAGGAGTGGAATCAATATACATGTAAAACAGGAAATGGACCTGGGAGTGGGAGACACTACCGGGTGCAGGATTCAGAAGGAGGAAGCAGGTGGGGCGGGAATAACGGACCTGTGGGAATGAGGATGTAGGCGAAGACTGGCAGGGGAGGTTTTAAGGATGGAGGTAGGTTTGAGAGAATGAGCTAGGTGCGGAGATAGCTTGGGAGAAGGGTGGGAGAAACAATGATCTAAAGGGACAAGAGGCAGGGGCTTGGAGCAGAGCCTAAGTAAGAAAGCGGTTAACAGGATGAGGAAGAAGGCGCCAACAGACTGTCAAGATGGAGCGGAAAAAAACGAGAGGGATGAGGCGGAGGGCAAAGGATTGGAGAGGGAGAATGAGGCTGGCTAGAGATGAACAGCAGAAGTTCGGCCGAGAAGAAAGAACAGCGTCAGGGCAGAAGACGTGTTTGGAGAGCAGAGACTTGAGTGGAGGGAAATGGAAGCGCAGGGAGCCGGGAACCCTCCTGGGCTGCTGGCAGGTGAGGACAGGTTGGGAGTCCCGCAGATAACTTCTCACCGTGAAGTCCTTAAAGGACGTGCCCGGAAGTAAGGGCAGGCCATGCACGGGATTGGACACCATTGCAGCCGGTACCACCACCGCCACCTAGATCATGCTTCGTCCTCTCTGGTTGCCCAGGCGACAAGCAGCGTTCGCGCGCTCCTCCAGGCTCCATGGTAACGCTAAACATCCGGAACTCCCACAAGCGGAGGGGGGGCGGGGGGGGGCGCGCAGACGTCACAGGTTTGCGCGTGCGCCGTCCTAGGGACTCCGCGTTCTCGCGGTAAGGAGGCCGCGGCCTTGGGGCGCGGCTAGTGGCCAATGTCGTGCCGGCCCCTCCCCTTCCTCTTCGCCCCGCCTCGCACCGCTGCCAGAGGATGAGGCGTGGGAGCTGTTGGGTAGGTGGAGGAAAGGCGAGTATGGGGAGGCGGTAGTTTTCGCTCTGAGGTCCAGAGTCGGAGCAGGGCCTTAGATGAGTTGCAGAGAAGGACGTTCAGTCCTTTCACCTAGCCCTGGCGAACCTGACTGCGCCCCGCCAACGCTGTGAACTCAGGGATTCTTTTCTCCCCGCTCTGCCCCATTTCATACAGAAGTGTAAATGGTTGGTCCGGTTGGTAGTGCTACTAACCCAGACCCATGCTTCTTGTGGGCAGTTTTGTTTCTGTCATGATTGTGTTTCTCTTGCTCAGGGATGGTCAATGAACTAATGCAATCATCTCATCCTTCATCCTTCCACTGCCATCTTATATATTTTTACCCCTTTTAACTCTCTTTTAAAATTTTTCTTTTGTGTAGAGATGGTGTCCCACTGTTGCCCAAGCTGGTCTGTAATTCCTGGACTCAAGCGATCCTCCCGCCTCGCCTCCCAAAGTGTTGGGATTGCAGGCGTGAGCCACCGCGTCCGGGCAGCTCTCTTTAGTCTACCGTCAATCCCTTCGGTTAAACACCTTCTTCATTCTTGTTGGCAGAGCCTTGAGTATGTGCCGCAGGACAGGGTACACTCTAATAGGTACCTGATATTTGTTGACTGAGGAGCTGGACGTTGAAGGGGTAGTCACCTCAGTCCCTCGTTTATACCTGCAGCTGCAAGGTGAAGATCAGAACCACTAGGAGAAACACAGCTCCTTCAAAGAGAAAGACTAACTCATGGGAAAGAAGCAGACAAGTGAGGTGAAATATTGTCAGTATCATAGGTATTGCCTTTGATGCTTTTTACAAAACTTGCTTATTTTTTCTTAAAGAAATGAAATCCTATTCCTGACACATACTTGGTGGGGGTGGGTGGGTGTGAAGAAACCCATCCATCATTGCGGAGGAGCTTAAAAAAAAAAAAGTAATCAAAACCCAGTTGCCCAGAGATTTAGATTCATTAGGTCTGACGTGGAGGGCGGGAATCTGATTTTTGTAACAGGTGTTTGTGACAAACCAGTTTAGGAACATGATAAGAGTAATAAGCCGGACACAGAAGGCATATCTCAGCATCACAGGTAGTTTACTACCAATACAGACAGCAGCTTTACTTTTATTGCTGCTTGTCAGAGTAAATCCCCATGTTGGGTTTCACTAACTTGCAAGAAGCTCCTGATGCCCGGGACATGAATGCATTAAGTGTCACCTGAGGCAGTTATTGATGACTGCTTACCATACCCTACCCAGAGAGTTTCTTTGTTAACTCTTCTCCCCTTAATACATCTGTTTCCCATTCTTGTCCTTCTTTTATTTTTATTTTATATATATATATTTATGTATATATATAAACTTTATTGCACTTTAGGTTCTAGGGTGCATGTGAAGAACATACAGGATTGTTGCATAGGTACATACATGGCAATGTGGTTTGCTGCCTCCATTCCCCTCACCTATATCTGGCATTTCTCCCCATGTTATCTTTCCCCAACTCCCTAGCCACCCCCCGCTGTCCCTCCTCTAGTCCCCCCCACCAACAGACTCCAGTGCGTGATGCTCCCCTCCCTGTGTCTATGGGTTCTCATTGTTCAACACCTGCCTATGAGTGAGAACATGTGGTGTTTGATTTTCTGTTCTTGTGTCAGTTTGCTGAGAATGATGGTTTCCAGGTTCATCCATGTCCCTACAAAAGACATGAACTCATTGTTTTTTTATGGCTGCATAGTATTCCATGGTGTATATGTGCCACATTTTCCTTTTCCAGTCTGTCATTGTTGGGCATTTGGGTTGGTTCCAGCTCTTTGCTATTGTAAACAGTGCCACAGTGAACATATGTGTGCATGTGTCTTTATAGTAGAACGATTTATAATCCTTTGGATATATATCCAGTAACAGGATTGCTGGGTCAAATGGTATTTCTATTTCTAGGTCCTTGAGGAATCGCCACACTGTGTTCCACAATAGTTTAACTAATTTACACTCCAGCAGTATAAAAGTGTTCCTATTTCTCCACATCCTCTGCAGCATCTGTTTTTCTTTGGATTTTTTAATGATCACCATTCTAACTGGCGTGAGATGTATCTCAATGTGGTTTTGATTTGCATTTCTCTAATGACCAGTGATGATGAGCATTTTTTCGTATGTTTCTTGGCTTCATATATGTCTTCTTCTGAAAAGTGTCTGTTCATATCCTTTGTCCACTTTTGAATGGGTTTATTTTTTTCTGGTAAATCTGTTTTAGTTCTTTGTAGTTTCTGGATATTAGCCCTTTGTCAGATGGGTAGATTGCAAAAATTTTTCCCCATTCTCTTAGTTGCTGATTCCCTCTAATGATTGTTTCTTTTGCTGTACAGAAGCTCTTCAGTTTAATTCAATCCCATTTGTCTATTTTGGCTTTTGTTGCCAGTGCTTTTGGTGTTTTAGTCAAACACCAAAAGTCCTTGCCTATGATTTTGCCTAGGTTTTCTTCTAGGGTTTTTATGGTGTTAGGTCTTTTTTTTTTTTTTGAGACGGAGTTTTGCTCTTGTTACCCAGTCTGGAGTGCAATGGCGCGATCTCGGCTCACCGCAACCTCCGCCTCCTGGGTTCAGGCAATTCTCCTACCTCAGCCTCCTTAGTAGCTGGGATTACAGGCACGCGCCACCATGCCCAGCTAATTTTTTGTATTTTTGGTAGAGACAGGGTTTCACCTTGTTGACCAGGATCGTCTCGATCTCCTTACCTCGTGATCCACCCGCCTCGGCCTCCCAAAGTGCTGGGATTACAGGCTTGAGCCACCGCACCCGGCCTATAGTGTTAGGTCTTATGTTTAAGTCTTTAATGCATCTGGAGTTAATTTTAGTGTAAGGTGTCAGGAAGGGGTCCAGTTTCTGCTTTCTGCACATGGCTAGCCAGTTTTCCCAACACCATTGACCAAACAGGGAATTATTTCCCCATTGCTTGTTTTTGTCAGGTTTGTCAAAGATCAGATGGTTGTATATGTGTGGCATTGCCTCCAAGGCCTCCATTCTGCTCCATTGGTCTATATCTCTGTTTTGGTACTAGTACCTGTTTTGATTACTGTAGCCTTGTAGTATAGTTTGAAGTCAGGTAGCGTGATGCCTCCAGCTTTGTTCTTTTTGCTTAGAATTGACTTGGCTATGCTGGTTCTCATTTGGTTCCATATAAAGTTTAAGGTGTTTTTTCCAGTTTGGTGAAGAGGGTCATAGGTAGCTTGATGGAGATAGCATTGAATCTATAAATTACTTTGGGTAGTATGGCCATTTTTGCAATATTGATTTTTCCTAGCATGAGCATGGAATGTTTCTCCATCTGTTTGTGTCCTCTCTTATTTTCTTGAGCAGTGGTTTGTAGTTCTCCTTGAAGAGGTCCTTTACATCCTTTGTTAGTTGTATTCCTAGGTATTTTATTCTCTTTGTAGCAATTGTGAATGGCAGTTCATTCTTGATTTGGCTCTCTTTAAGTCTGTTATTGGTGTATAGGAATGCTTGTGATTTATGCACATTGATTTTGTATCCTGAGACTTTACTGAAGTTGCTTATCAGTTTAATGAGATTTTGGGCTGAGACAATGGGGTCTTCTAAATATATAATCATGGCATCTGCAAACAGAGACAATTTGACTTCCTCCTTTCCTAATTGAATACCTTTTATTTCTTTTTCTTACCTAATTGCTCTGGCTAGAACTTCCAATATTATATTGAATAGGAGTGATGAGAGAGGGCATCCTTGTTTAATGCCAGATTTCAAAGGCAATGCTTCCAGTTTTTGCCGATTCAGTATGATATTGGCTGTGGGTTTGTCGTAAATAGCCTTTATTATTTTGAGATATGTTCCCTTGATACCTAGTTTATTGAGAGTTTTTAGCATAAAGGGCTGTTGAATTTTATGGAAGGCCTTCTATCCATCTATTGAGAAAATCATGTGGTTTTTGTCTGATTCTGTTTATGTGGTGAATAACATTTATATACTTGAGTAAGTTGAACCAGCATTGCATCCCCAAGATAAAGCCTATTTGAACGTGATGGATAAGCTTTAGATGTGCTGTTGCAATTGGTTTGCCAGTATTTTATTGAAGACTTTTGCATCTATGTTCATCATGGATATTGGCCTGAAGTTTTCTTTTCTTGTTGCATCTCTGCCGGGTTTTGGTATCAGGATGATGTTGGTCCCATAAAATGATTTGGGAAGGATTCCCTCATTTTGGATTGTTTGGAATAGTTTCAGAAGGAGTGATACCAGCTCCTCTTTGTATGTCTGGTAGAATTAGACTGTGAACCCATCTGGACCTGGGCCTTTTTTGGTTGGTAGGCTCTTAATTGCTGCCTCAACTTCAGCCCTTGTTATTGGTCTATTCAGGGTTTCAACTTCTTCCTGGTTTAGGCTTGGGAGGGTGCAAATGTCCAGAAATTTATCCATTTCTTCCAGATTTAATGGTTTATGTGCATAGAGTTATTTGTAATAATCTTTAAAGGTAGTGTGTATTTCTGTGGAATCAGTAGTGATATCCCCTTTCTCATTTTTTATTGCATCTAGTTGATTATTCTCCCTTTTCTTTTTTATTAATCTGGCTAGCGGTCTATTTTGTTGCTCTTTTCAAAAAACCAGCTCCTGGATTTATTGATTTTTTTGAAGGATTTTTTTGTGTTTCTGTCTCCTTCAGTTCTGCTCTGATCTTAGTTATTTCTTGTCTTCTGCTAGCTTTTGAATTTTTTTGATCTTGCTCCTCTAGCTCTTTCAATTTTGATGATAGGGTGTTGATTTTAGATCTT